GATTCCTGTGGCTCTGGGAATCTTTGGGGTGCTCAGATCTGGGAATTTTTGGGATTTGGGAATGTTTGGGATTTGGGGATCCTTGGATCTTTGGGATTTGGGAAATTTTGGGATTTGGGAATGTTTGGGATTTGGGAATGTTTGGGACTCACCTCCGTTGCGGTGCTTTAGGGCCAGGCACACCTCGATGATCTGCACCCCGAGCTCGTAGTAAAAATCCCCAAATCCCAAAAGCTCCGACCAAAACCCTTTACCGGCTGTGAGGGCACAGGAAATGGGGTCAGATATGGGAAACAGATATGGGATATGGGGAAATGGGGTCGGGATATGGGAATGGGGTCGGGATATGGGGAAAAGCCTTTTCACTCAGAAACCCCACTGTGGGTCTGCGTTTTGGGGTTTTCCAGGACCCCAAGCCCCAGGACAGACCCGACCCCAAATCCCTGCAAAGCCCCGATCCCAAACCCTTGAGAGGAGGTGAGTCCAGAGCCCAGGACGGCCTCGACCCCAAACCCCGAATGGAGCTGACCCCAAATCCCTGACCCCAAACCCTCAGTAAGGGTGGGACAGCCCCGACCCCAAACCCCTGCGAGGAGCTGACTCCAGAGCCCAGGACGACCTCGATCCCAAAGCCCTGTGATGCCCCTGACCTCAAATCCCAAATGGAGCTGACCCCAAATCCCTGACCCCAAACCCTCAGTAAGGGTGGGACAGCCCTGACCCCAAATCCCTGACCCCAAATCCCTGGCCCCAAACCCCGATCCCAAACCCCCGGGACAGCCCTGACCCCAAACCCCAGATGTCTCCAACCCCAAATCCCTGATCCCAAACCCAAGAAGGGTGAGACAGCCCCGACCCCAAATCCCCAACCCCAAATGCCAAGCTTCTGACCCCAAACCCTAAACCCTGACTCCAAACCCCAAACCCCTGAATGGCCCTGACCCCAATCTCAAATCCCTGATCCCAAACCCCAAACTCTGACCCCAATCCCAACCCCTGATCCCAAACCCCAAACTGTGACCCCAAACCCCGATCCCTGACCCCAAACACCAAACCCTGGCCCCAATCCCAATCCCTGATCCCAAACCCCAAACCCTGACCCCAAACCCTGATCCCTGATCCCAATCCCCGATCCCAAATCCCAAACCCTGACCCCAAATCCTGCTCACATGCCAGCGGATCCACGCCGATGGTGGTGCACATGTCCTGGAAGTGCACGCGGAACTCGGGGCTGCGGCGGATCCCAAACCCCAAACCCCGATCCCTGACCCCAAACCCCAAACCCCTGACCCCAATCCCTGATCCCAATCCCAATCCCAAACCCCACAATGCTCACAGGCGAGGGGATCCACGCCGATGGTGGCGCACATGTCCTGGAAGTGCACGCGGAACTCGGGGCTCCTGCGGATCCCCTGTTTGTGTTTGGCCGCGAACGCCTCCAGGTGAGTGCGGAACGTGGCCAAYTGCTGGGACATCTGCAACCAAACTGGGGTGGACTGGGGGCACTGGGGGAGCAAATTCCCATTCCTGTTCCCCATTCCCATCCCATTCCCGTCCCCATTCCCATTCCTGTCCCCATTCCCATTCCCATTCCTTCCCACTCCCATCCCATTTCC